TTTACAGGTTAAAGGAAAATATCTCTTTTATTTTTAACAACTGAATACTGTACATACACGTAAAAAGACAACAGTAGAAATATATGAATACAACACATGCCAATATTGCATCCGTCATTGTTCTCTGAAGCTCAACACTTAAATCATAATGGCTGTTTTCCATTAAAGCCACAAGGTGCAGTATTTTTATTCTTTAAGGTCAGTTACAGGTTCAGTTATTGTTGAACATTAACATTAGCCTGGCTGGAGTGCAAGATGGGCATGGTCTGCATTTTGTTGCATGCTAACTTCATGCGAGTGCAACAAGAGTCTGCACTCCAGGGTATTTTAAACACCGTCAAGAGCTGCTTCATTAAATGAGAATGAAAAATGAAAAATATTCTCATTTGAATGAGAGTTCGGAGTGCAGTGCCTGTTCCTGATTGGTTCTCCACTGGAATAAAAGTGCATGAACGGATGCACTCAAGGGGATAAAAGCAGAGTTTTGACTCTCAAGTGCTGTTTAGTTGCAGTTTTAGGTTCCTGTGTGTAGAGGGCGGTTTGGTATAACAACACTATGTGCACAGATGCGGTATAATGTGTCTGAATTATACCCTGATGGATGGAGATGATTGGTTTCAGGCATCTGGTGATATTTCTAGTGACAGGTACAGGGTAAGGGGGTTTTACTCACTGGGGTACCCCTGTGATTCTCTCTGTCGGGTAGTGACAGGACAGTCCTTGTGGGTGAGCAGAATCTGCTTGAGTTGACCCACCTCTGACCTCAACGACGTCACCTCATTCTGGAAACACACAGAGAAACACTCAGTATCCTTGAAGTGTTGTGACATGTGTGTGTGTGTGTACTTGACTGTGTGCCCCACCTGTAGCTGTAGGTTTGTGTGCGTCAGCTCCTCAGCTTTTTTCTCCAGCGACGACACCCAAAGCTTCCTCTTCTGTCGGCAGCGAGTGGCTGCAGCCCGATTGCGCTCCAGAAACTTCTGCCTGCGCTCGTCTGGGTCCTGCTCCGCCGTCCTCCGGCGACGGTTGCTGCATCCTCCTTCTCTTGCCCCACCACCACCGCAGCCACCCCCTGCCTGCATGTCGTGCTGGGAATGGGAAGGGTGCGAGGAGTGCATCTGCTGTTCAACTGGTGATAACTGCAAACAAAACAAAAACAAAACCAGTAACCTCACTGTGCTTGAGTGCAGATACACGGGGTCATGTAGATGCAAAGCACCGTACCTGTGCTGAAACAGGCAGCGGAGGTGCAGGCGGGGATGGCTGATGAAGGTGTGAAGGCGGTGACTGGTGAGCCTGAGTGTGCGGTGCGTTCCCTGGATGGTGAAGCTGGTGGCTGAGAGAGCTTCCCTGCAGGTGCTGCTGCTGCTGCTGCGGAGGGCCGTGGCACCGCTGTGGATAGGGGAGGGTTGGAGCTGGAAGCTGTGGATGATGAGGATGATGGTGGTGTTGTAGTGGAGGGGCCTGGTGGCACTGTGACATCATGTCCATCACATGACCCATGGATGTGCCGGGGGTGTTGATGGCAACCATTCCTGGGTGGTGCTGTTGGAAATGATGACCCAGTGTCTGTTTGGATCTCTGTGTTGGACAAAAAGAAAAAATGAATTGAATTATACTCACTTTTGAATAAAAATCACTCCCCCCTTAAAATACTTATTTAGATACACAAAATCTAGATAATTTATTTCACCTATTAGCACTCACACATTCCTGATATTTATTTTCTCAATATCTCTGCATTATAGTGAAAATAAAATCCACCCCCAAATCTAAATGGCTTCTACCTTGATCCATATCACATCCTTCCACCAGGTTTTGTGGAAATCAATCCAGTAGCTTTTGTGAAATGCTGTAGACAACATAACCTCTGTGGCATTTAGATATTAGATTTGCCATGTTCCATTGAAATACGGCCTGTTATAGTTAGTACACTTGAGCTATACATCAACACTACAAGGAAAGAGTTTGTGATTCTATGGAAACATTTTCAGATGTCTCTCATGGTGGGTAGGATGTGTTTCACCTCCAGGAACCAGTTAAATCAGTAACAGCAGATCTAAGCACCCAGCCTACAAACCACTTTAGGTCAAGCAGCCAAACCTTAGATGTATGAGTCCCCACAGATTTTCCTCTACCTGTAAATAACTTCTATCAGCCATAATCCCCCACGTCGTCCATCGTCACCATCTCTCACAATCCTCGACAACACAACCCGTGAAGACGACAGTAAATAAGACGGACAACGTGTTCCGTCCGCAGCTCGATATCTTCACACTTAATCATTCCAGCGTATCATCTGACTAAACAGACTGTAAGAGCTAAATTAAACCTCGTCTCACTTTTCTCCTAAGCTCAGCAGTGGAGGAGAGCGAGCGAGGAGGGAGAGGTCATGTTTGGAGCATGACATCACCCCTTTCCCCACCCCCCCTCCCAGGCAATATTGCTATCTGCTCACTGTTACACAATATTTCTTTAAGAGAAGAAGTTGGGGTTTTTTTCCCTCTCACTCTCTTTCTCTCTCTTTCTCTCTCTCTCAACCATTCAGTGATAAAAAAAAAAAAAAAAAGGAACACATTTAGCGGCTGCCAAGGATGAGGTCACTGAGCTGTCTGTGCCAGCGTTACCAGCCAGCCAGGCTGCCAGTCAAACACACACACACACACTGAAGAGGACGGGACACAAGTAATTCTTCTCTGTTTACTACATAGAAACACCCTGACACTGAGGCTGGTGATTACATCATGGATCGCCTTGGCCTAGATGACACACCACGCTGATATTTCTGTCTGGAGGGATCAGTGAATGAAGACATGAAACTGTACACTGTATACTGAGCCACTTGTCAAATGTTTACTTTTACTCAACTTGAGCCCAGTGTGGAGTTACTGTACAACAGAGGTTAATACATCTAATACGTAGATTTTTAAGGAAGACAAAGTCTCCTCTCATACTGTGACAATGCCCGACATCAATGAAACTACTATAGAATCTGAAGAATGTGTGAGTGTGTGTGTGTGTGTGTGTGTGTGTGTGTGT